GGGCCTGCAGTTTCTGGGGCTCAGGACCGCGCCTCCCAGGCAGCGGGTGCAGCAGCCAGGGTTCCGGGATCGCAGACCTGGCTTACCATCCGGGCCTCACAGCCCGGCCCCAGGCTCTGACCTCACTCCTCTCGGCTGGTCTCCCTCTCTGTCAGGCGGGGGTTTGGGTTGGATTTTCCTCTTAAGCTTCTCAAGAGGATGAAGTGGGCCGAAACCGGTTTGGCTCAGTGGATAGAGCTTCCGCCGGCGGACTCAAGGGTCTCGGGTTCGATTCCGGTCAAGGGCATGTACCTTGGTTGCGGGCACATCCCCAGTAGGGGGAGTGCAGGAGGCAGCTGATCGATGACTCTCTCTCATCGATGTTTCTAACTCTCTATCCCTCTCTCTTCCTCTCTGTAAAAAAAATCAATAAAATATATTTTTTTTAAAAAGAGGATGAAGTGGGCTAATTCCTAGTGGGAGCCGGGCCCAGAGGGACTGGGGCCATCTTATGTCATCTCTGGGTGGAAAAGGGAGACAAGGAAGTCCTGGCCTGATGGGTCGAGGCAAGCCATGTGGAGACGGGAAAGGCTATCACTCATTCATTCATTCATTCATTCACTCTGCACACCTGCACACCTGCTGTCTCTTCATCTGCTCCGCCACGCCACCCTGCAAGGCGGGAGCTGTGACCATCCCCAACGATAGTCCCTACAAAGGCACAGAGAGGGAAAGCCATCTCTCCGAGGCCACACAGCAAACACAGGGCAGAGCCGGGGCTCAAACCCATGCCTCTAAAGCCACCGTGTTTGAATGCTAATTTCCTCGATGAAACGGGTCCTGCAGTTGAAAATGTGGGTGGGTGGATGCTGATGATAATTACTGCTATTATTCCAACGGCTATCGGAGGAACAATGACCAGTGCAGCCTCACGGAACCCAGCACTTTCTATCCCACTTTCAGGCCCTGTAGGAGGGGAGCATTCTTTTCTTGGTGGAGTCTGTTGTTTATACGTTAAGATGTTTTGTGGCCCTAGCCGGTGTGGCTCAGTGGATAGAGCATCGGCCTGCGGACTCAAGGATCCCAGGTTCGATTGCGGTCAAGGGCATGTCCCTTGGTTGCAGGCCCGTTCCCAGTGGGGGGTGTGCAGGAGGCAGCTGGTCGATGTTTCTCTCTCATCGATGTCTCTAACTCTCTCTCCCTCTCCCTTCCTCTCTGTAAAAGATCTATAAAACACATTTTTTTAAAAGATGTTTTATGGGTAGTTGAGGTTCCATCAGGGTAAGTCACTAAGCTAATGCAAGTGAGAGACAGGACTTACACCCAAGCCTCTGCTGGAAGCAAAGCAGGACAAGGCCAAGCCCTCTCCTCTCCGTTTAGAAGGGGAAACTGAGGCCCTGAGAGCAAGAAAGCCCACAGCCTTCAAGCCGGGACTTCATGTCCCTCCTGGGACCTTGAACAGGCACAGTCTTGGCCCTTCCTTGCCTGGGGCGCGAGGAGGACAGAGGGAAAGAAGCCGTAGGGGAAGAGTCCAGTGAACAGGTTCGAAGGACCATCTGGACGAGGGAAAGTGGTTAGGCACCAGGCAGGACTTCCAGGCCCGCTCCGGGAGTCTCTGGGACTCAGCCAGGGGCAGCCCCTGCCGGCAGGGGGCCTCCACTCGAGGCCCAGAGAGGGGAGACCCTATATCCTCCCCTCCCGGGAGGCAGGGAGTCAGGGGGAAAGGAGGGGGCAGGCATCCTGGTTCCGCATCCTTCATTCCCGACACTGAGGGAGGGGCTGTGGGAAAGGGACTTTCCTGAGCAGCAGAAGGTTCTGGGAAATCAGAGACAGCTACAGGGCGGGGCTGACTCCAGGCCTCCCGCTTCTGCCCTCCCCAGTCCCCGCCGGTTCCCCCTGGAGGCCCTCCTCCAGCTGTTCCTCCTCCCACAGACCGAGCCCCCCCCAGACCCTCAGACTGTCAGAATCCACCTCCACCCTCAGACCCTTCTTTCCCCCCCAGCTCTCTCCTCCCCCCTCAGACCCTCAGAATCCACCTCCACCCTCAGACCCTTCTTCCCTCCCCTCCCCCAGCTCTCTCCTCCCACCTCAGACCCTCAGACTGTCAGAATCCACCTCCACCCTCAGACCCTTCTTTCCCCCCCAGCTCTCTCCTCCCCCCTCAGACCCTCAGAATCCACCTCCACCCTCAGACCCTTCTTCACTCCCCTCCCCCAGCTCTCTCCTCCCCCCTCAGACCCTCAGACTGTCAGAATCCACCTCCACCCTCAGACCCTACTTTTCCCCCCCTCCCCCAGCTCTCCCCTCCCTCCTCAGAGCCTCCGTCCTCACTGGGTCCTCCCAAGTTCCTCAGACCATGCCCCCTTCTTCTGACCCCCTCCCCTCCTGATGCCATTTTATTTCTCTCTCAATCAGACCCGTCTTTCTCCTTCAGATCCTCCTTCCTCACTCCTTTTATCCCTCGTCCATCCTCAAACTGGGAACCCCCTCTCCCTCAGCCCTTCCAAGCCCCACTCCGGGCCACACACAGATGCCACCCCCCCCCCCACCTGCCTGGGCCCAGAGCGACTGCTCCCTTCCCACCCTATACCTCCTGGGGTCCCCCCCTCGGTGAGCCCCGCCCGCTGAGGCCCAGCTTCCCTTTTCTGCTCTGTGGGGTCAGGCTCTCCACCCCACCCCTCTCCTGGGTCTGAAAGTCTCTGGAGACGAAGGCTGGGTGGGCAGTGCCCACAGCACCCAGACTTCCAATCCCCACTCTTGCCGTCGCCCACACAGCACTGAGAGGCAGGGGTTGGCATCAGCCCGTTTGCCAGGACAGGCTGAGTCTCAGGAGGGCTGTCCGAGGTCCCAGGGTGGCATCTGAACTCAGGTCTTGCCCAGAGATCCCCCCCATTGCAGGGCTGAGGGGGGGAGCCGGGGAGAGAAAGAATAAGGAAGAGGTCAGGCCTCTGTCCACCGCAGCTCCTTGCCCCCCCGGGGTTAAGTCCCTTCTTGGGGACCAGGGCCCCACACCCAATTTCGGGGTCCCAGAGAGACGCTTCTGGGGAGACAGACAGGCAGACAAATACCAGGAGACACACAGAGATGGGGCAGGCCGCAGGCCGCGAGAGGGAGGCCAGGGGTGCGGGACGGAGCTGCAGGGCTGTAGGGAGATGCACTGAGAGGGCCTGCGTGCCGCCTGGCAGACCCTGGGTGTAGCCCCCATTCCCTCGCCCCCCTAAACCCCAAAGCCTCCTCCTCGGTCTTCTGCAGCTCAGTGACCCGGACTCAACCCCGGCGGCCGCCCCGCCCCCAGGGAAATCCGGGAAAGCCCCGGCCGCCCGCCCCGCCCTGGGGTGGGGAGAAGGGCGCAGGGAGGGGACGGCAGGGGAGGGGCCGGGAGAGCCCGCCCCCCCCCCCCCCCATCCCGCCGGCCTGAGTCACGTCCCCCAACCCGCCCGGCCAGTTCCTCCTCAATGCCCCGCCCGGCCGGGAGGGGGCGTGACTCCCCGCACCCCCCGCCCGGACTTCGGTCCACCGAGTCTGTCTGCGTGTCCGCGCTCCCGCTCTCCCTCCGTCCTCTCCTCCTCGGTCTCAGTCTCTGAGCCTCTGTTGCCAACGTCTGTTTCTCTCTGTGTTTTCGGGGTTCCTGGTGCAGGGACCCCGCGCGGGGAGACACAACCCATGTCCCTCTGAGCTCCCCCAGCGCGTCCACCCGCCCCGGCGCAGGGCAGACCCTGGGCGGGGCAGGCACAGGGGGTGCAGGCACAGGGGGGCGGGCACGGGGGGGGGGACAGGGCACAGGGGGTGCAGGCACCGTGGGGGGAGAGGGCACAGGGGGGGCAGGCACAGGGGAGGGGGGCAGGCACCGTGGGGGGGGTGGTACAGGCACAGGGGGGCAGGCACCGTGGGGAGGGGTGCAGGCACAGGAGGGGCAGGCACAGGGGGGGTGCAGGCACCGCGGGGGGGGCAGGCACAGGGGGGGCAGACACAGGGGGGCAGGGCACAGGGGGGGCAGGCACAGGGGAGGGTGCAGGCACCGCGGGGTGGGGTGCAGGCAGGGGCAGAGTGCAGGCGTCGGCCCGCCCGGCCGGGGTGCGTCCTTTCGCTCTGACCCAGGAGGAAACGGCCAGGGGAGGGGAAGTGCGTGGTCAAGGTCACCGCGCGAGGAAGTGGGAGTCAGGACTCGAACCCGCACCCTAACGACCCCAGGGAGCCGTGGAATCGCTTCCCTTGGGGAGAGACCGAGCTCCAGAGGCAAAGAGATCGTAGATGCAAAGAGACAACAGAGACAGACAGTGAGGCAGAGGCAGAGGCAGAGGCAGAGGCAGAGGCAGAGACAGAGACAGAGACAGAGGCAGAGGCAGAGACAGACAGAGACAGTGAGGCAGAGGCAGAGACAGAGACAGAGGCAGAGACAGAGGCAGAGGCAGAGACAGAGACAGACAGAGACAAACAGAGACAGTGAGGCAGAGGCAGAGGCAGAGGCAGAGGCAGAGGCAGAGACAGACAGAGACAGACAGGCAGAGGCAGAGGCAGAGACAGACAGAGACAGTGAGGCAGAGGCAGAGGCAGAGACAGAGGCAGAGACAGAGGCAGAGACAGAGGCAGAGGCAGACAGAGACCCGGAGACCTCTCTCCGGGCGTCTCTCGGAGGGAGGCAAACACAGAGACCCGACACCCACAGGCGCGCAGCCCGGACCCGAGCCGCCCCTGACCCCGCCCCTGCCCCCCCTCCGAGCCCCGGCCCGGCCGCCCCGGGCGCCGCGGGGCCAGAGGGGCGGGCGCGGGCGAGGCTCGGGGCCGGGAGCGGCCCGGGTCCAGGAAACCCCTGGGCGGGCGGCGGCCCCGCGGGGGGCGGGGGGCGTGGAGCGGCTGCCGGCACCGCCCCGGCCGACAAAAGTCCCTTCAGCTCCGCCGGCAGCAGGGGAAGTCCCGGCGCCGGCGCAGCCTCCCGCAGCCGCCGAGCCGAGCCGAGCCGCGCTCCGGCCGCCCTCGGCCGCCCCCCCGGCGGCCCCATGCCCCGATGCCCCGCGGGGGCCATGGACGAGGGGCCCGTGGACCTGCGCACCCGGCCCAAGGCCGCCGCGCTCCCGGGCGCCGCGCTGCCGCTCCGTAAGCGCCCGCTGCGGCCGCCCTCCCCGGCGCCCGCCGCCCCGCGCTGCGCCCCGGCCGCCCCGGAGCCCCTGCCCGGCGGCGCCAGCGGGCCCGCCGCCCCGGCGTCCCGCCCCGGCCTGGCCCGGCCCGAGGCCCTTTACTACCAGGGTGAGTGTCCCTCTCCGGTCAAGGTCGGGCTGGGGGCCACAGGGCACTGGGTCAGGGGAGGCAGGGCGCAGAGCTCAGACACAGTGCAGGGGGCTCCTGGGAGCTGGGGGGAGGGGGGGGGGACAGAGGGAGAAGCCAAGGTCCCAAAACAGATAGGGGGCTCCTGGGAGCTGGGGGAGGTGGGGCCGGGGTGCAGGCCCCTGTCCCTGGGGTACAGACATGGAAACATCAGAAAGCGGTGCCTTGGGACAGAGCTATAGGGGGGTCCCAGGAAGCTGGGTGCAGGGGGCCTGAGGGACAGAACCTGGGGTCTGAACGCGACAGATATGGGGACCCAGGGGACAGTGCCCAGCAGGACAGATTTGGGGGCTCAGGAAATCAAGAGCCTGAAGTCTCGGGAACACAGAATTACAAACGAGACCCGGCATCTACCCCAGGGTTCTGAGGAATCCGTGCTCCAGCCCGAGACGCTGAGGTTCTTGGCATCCAGATGTGCGGGGTCCGGGGAAGTCAGGGGAACGGAGACTGGGTTCTAAGGGGACGGATAATAGGGATCCCAGGAACCAGGACATCGGGGGGACTTGGGGGGTTAGGAGAACAGAGTCAGAGCTCTGAGTGCCCCAGTGTCTGGGATCAGAGAGAAACAAGGAAACAGGCCCAGACACCGGGGATCCTAACCAACCAGCAGGACAGGGGCCCAGGTTCTGGGCACCCAGTTATGTGCGGTCACCATGGCTCAGAGCTTCATGAGAGTCACAAGACCAGGTGGTATAGAGGGCTTGGGGCTGAGGATTCTAATAATAGGGGGCAGGACTGGGGAAATCTGGGACTCAAGAATTTGGGGCCAGGACGAAGGATTTGGGAATCTTTAGGAGGCCCCAGGACAGGGACCAGGAAACTTGGGGCATTCAGGACTCCCAGTGATGAGGAAATGACAGAGGAGGCCAGACACCATTCTCCCCATCCCGTCTCCATCCCTGACCTCAAGGAAGGGGCATTGCCCAAGGAAGGGGCAGTGCTCACCTCCCCATCCCCAAGTGACCCGCCAAGTGACAAAGCCCATGCTTAGTGCCTCCCAACCTTTGGCCAGTTTCTGTACCCCATTGGGGTACAGCCTCTAGCTGTGCATCCGGAGGCCTGCTACTGCCTCCCCTTCCCATTCCCCAGGTGAGAGCCCAGGCCTCAGTTTCCCCCTCCATGTGCTGGGTAGATACGGATTTTCCTGTTGCCAAGGTCCCCTTCCAACAGTGTGATCTGAACAGGCGTCTGGTGTCACCTTCTCTCACCTTCTAATGCACCCCTCTCCCCAAACGCTCTGGGCGCTCACCCCACACCCCCACACCCAGCACTTCATCCTGTCTGTGCCTCCCTGGGCCACACATTCACTCAGCAAACAGGCCCTGAGGATCCCCTGCTGGTGATGGGGTTCAGTCCGTGAGGGACTTTTTGCCTCGCAGGGGAGGAGAGTCAAAAACACGAACAGTGGCGACGAGCCCAGCATGGCTCGGTGTCTGAGCACGGACCTGTGAACCAGGAGGTCATGGTTCGCTTCCCGGTTGCAATCCCCAGTGGGGGACGTGCCGGAGGCAGTGGATGGATGATTCTCTCTCATCGTTGATGTTCCTATCTCTCCCTCCCCCACTCCTTTCCTCTCTGAAATCAATAAAAATATATATATATATATTTTTTTTTTGGAATGTCATTGAGCCCTAGCCAGTTTGGCTCCATGCATAAAGCTACAACCTGCGGACTAAAGGATCCCAGGTTCGATTCTGGTCAAGGGCACATGCCCGGGTTTCGGGCTTGATCCCCAGAAGGCAGCCAATCAATGATTCTCTCTCATCATTGATGTTTCTATTTCTCTCTCTTCCTTTCTCTCCGAAATTAATAAATATATATATATTTATATATATATAAATTAATAAATATATATATATAAAATATATATATATATATATATTTTTTTTTTTTAAAAGTGACCATGAGCCGAGACCAGTTTGGCTCAATGGATAGAGCGTCGGCTTGGGGACTGAAGGGTCCCGGGTTCGATTCCGGTCAAGGGCATGTACCTTCGTTGCGGGCACATCCCCAGTAGGGGGTGTGCAAGAGGCAGCTAATCGATGACTCTCTCTCATCGATGTTTCTAACTCTCTATCTCTCTCCCTTCCTCTCTGTATAAAATCAATAAAATATATTTAAAAAAAAAAAATAAAAAAAAAAAAATAAATAAAAGTGACCATGAAAGTGACCAGGACTGGGGACAGGGACTGAATGGGGGAAGTTGTGGAGCCCAGAGGAGGGACATGGGAAGGAGCTTTGTCTTAAGCCTTTTGGACCCAGAATGAGATACAAGAGGGCCTGGGAAAGGGGCAGGTGGGGAGAGGGTTGAGGGTCTGTGGGCTTGGCCTCACCCATGTCTTTTCTCTGCCCAGGACCTTTACTGCCTCTGTACCCCACCCCGACCATGGGCTCCCCCTTTCCTCTGCTGAGCCTGCCTCCGCCCCTGTACCCCATGATGTGCTCAATGGAACACCCCCTTTCAGCCGACATCGCCATGGCCACCCGCGCGGATGAGGACGGAGACACGTGAGTACCAGCCCCCCTCCCCCTTCTTCCCTCCCCCCCCCCCCCCCCCAGTTAACGGGGAGCGGGCCGGGGAAAGCCGGCTCTCACCTTCACTCCCCACAACCCAGGGGCGCTCAGCCAGGCCTTTCTAGTCCGCTCCGCCGCTGGCTGTGCGACTCTGAGCAAGGCCCATTCCCTCTCGGAACCTCAGTCTCCTCTTCTGAAAAATGGGCGTCCTGAGAGCACAGACCTCCTGGTACCAATTTTGGAGCTAGGGGCTTCAGATTTGTCATCACACTCCAAGAAGGAGAAAGACATTTCCGTGGTTGACTTATTACATGAATTATACATGCTAAGCTCCTAGCGCTGAGCATGGTAGATGATGAGTGCTCTGTAGGTATCAGTTAATATTATTATTAAACTCAGCACACACACGTATAAGCCAGAAATAAAAACTGCACCAAACAAAACCATGCCCTCACTACGTGGGACCTCCTTTAGTGTTTTCTATGCTAGTGCATTTCTCATTGTTTCGTGGTCATAACCCACTAAATTGATTTCACCATCCCTTAAACCGACTTCACAAATCCCATGGTTTTGTCACCTGCAGCTCGAGGAATATATTCTTTTTAAAAAATATATATATATAATTTACCGGTTTTTTGCAGAGAGGAAGGGAGAGGGAGAGAGAGTTAGAAACATTGATGAGAGAGAAACATCGATCAGCTGTCTCCCTCACACCCCCCACTGGGGATGTGCCCGCAACCAAGGCACATGCCCCTTGCCGGAATCGAACCTGAGACCCTTCAGCCCACAGGCCGACACTCTATCCACTGAGCCAAAACGGTTAGAGCTGAAGAACATATTCTTGAAGCTGCTGAGAAGTTTAGCCCTCTGCCAGCCCTTTGTAAACACTTGGCATACTTGACCATCAGGCTTATAATTCTCCTGACTTCCGTTTGACTATCTCAGCTAGCCACTTTCTCAGCCCTCTCTGTCTCAGTGTCCCCCTGCAAAAACAGGAACCGTGAGTGTGCAGGGGTCTCTGCGAGGCGAAGATGAGGTGGTTTCTGTATGGCCTTCTCTGGGAATAGGTTTGGGGACTGCAAACCACGGGTAGGCACGATTGATAAGCCTATTTCTGCAGGGAAGGGGAAGGGGGACGGGGGCTCCACTCCTGGCCGGCCCACTGCTGGATGTGAGGTGACTTCACATCCCTGAGCCTCAGGGTTTCTATCGGGAAATCCACAGCCCGTAAGAACAGCTATCAGAGCGAGGATTCCGTGCCACGGCAAACACACACACCGTGCACGGACCGGGGCCAGTGCACACAGGAGGTGCTCCATGCCTGTGGGTGGATGCTGTTGGAACAGGCCGTGTGGGCCACCGCGTGGGCCCAGGCCGGAGAAAATGTCTGAGATCTATATAATGGACTCCATAAAGCTCGTTTCCTCCTCTGGGGTCATCTGTGGAACAGATTTCTTGTGTTATCTGCCCCCAGGGGCGAGTTGTTTGCAGCCTGTGCAAGCAGGGTGCAGGAGGAGACCTGGCCTGCCAGGCCTGAGCCCCGCGCGCCGCCCGCCCTCCCCCGCTCTCTCGCTCTCCCGCCTCTCCCCCCTCTCCCCCAAAGCAAACACTTCTGCCTCAGCTGCTGGTCCGGGGAAATCCCTTCCCGCAGAACCTGACCGCAGCCCAGCTGCTCTGCCTCCCCCACGTCAGCAGCCGTCACTCACTCCAGCCTCCCCCTCCCGGCGCTCCCTCTAACCTTAACCCCTTCCGCTGGGGCCGGGCTTTACCGGAATGGGCAGCTGGCACAGCCCGGGGGCGGGGGGAGGAGGACACGCGAAGGCCGGGTCCCCGAAGTTGCAAAGCTTGGCTGGGAGGCTAGACTTCTAGGGACTCGGGGTGCAAGGACCTCAGGGCTTCTGGGCCCCCAAGAGGTCAGGCACTGGCAGGCAAAGTCTGGGTCTGCGGGGTTAGGGGGTGGGGGGTGGGAGAGGACCACTGAGTCCCAGGGAGCAGAGCTGGGGGCACAGCATCCCTGGGTCTCTGATGCGGAGAGGAACAGGGTGCAGGGCAGCTGGGCATCTAGAGCGGAGAGGGGTTGCAGAGTCCGCATCAGCGAAGAGGCAGGGTCCCAGGCGACTCTGAGGTGGATGCTGGGATGAGGGGGGACAAGAACCCATCCTGGGTCTGAGGCGCTCCAGAGGGGTCTCCAGGCTGGAGGCTTGGGGTCTTTCCTTGCAGAAAAGCCAGGTCTTTTTGGGTCGGGCTACCCCCTCCTGTACCCCCACTCGCGGGTGGAAGCCGGGGTGCCGGGGGAGGGGGCGGGCGGCCCGGTAGATCCCCGCGGCTCAGGCTTCCCTCCCCCGGGAGCAGGAAGCGGAGCCCCGCCCCGCAGACCTGTTACTGGAAGTCCGAGGGCAGGGCCGCCCCTCCCGTCCCCACTTCCTCCAGCCCCGCCCCACCCCCTGCGGCCCGCGCGTTTATGGGAACTCAGGCCTGGACGGTTTCTCTGAAATCATTGCTCCCTCTGCCCTCACGTAACCCCGCCCGCGCGGAGGGGGGCGGAGGGGGGGGAAAAGAGGGGGTGCGTACCGAAAGAAGCGGGGGAAGAAGGGAGGGAGGGACCCCTTCCCAGGAGGCCCAGGTCCGGCCCTTCTCCCCAACATTTTTTTTTTGGGGGGGGTGGGTTGCTTTCAAGGATCAGGGCCCAGGTTCCGCGTTTCCCCTGCATCCTCTCCTCCTGGGAGGGGGATTACACTTCACCAGAGAGAAGACCGAGGCCCCGGAGGGCCACGTGACTTCGCCTTAGCATGCACAGCTGCGGGGGGGATGGGGGGGTGTGCACAACCCAATGTGCAACCCGGACCTCCTTAGCCCCCCAGAGCCCTCTGGGCTGCAGGGTGTCCCTATCCCCAGCCAAGCACCTCGGGAGCTGGTTTCCAAGGTAGGTCCAGCCGAGACCGGTTTGGCTCAGTGAATAGAGCGTCGGCCTGCAGACGGAAAGGTCCCGGGTTCGATTCCGGTCAAGGGCATGTACCTTGGTTGCGGGCTCATCCCCAATAGGAAGTGTGCAGGAGGCATCTGATCGATGTTTCTTCCTCATCGATGTTTCTAACTCTCTCCCTTCCTCTCTGTAAACAATCAATAAAATATATTTTAAAAATAAAAAAAAGGTACAGGATGCACATTCCCCAGCACATTCCCCAGTTGGGAGGCCTTGGCCTGGAAGCAGGCAGTGGTGGGTGAGAAAACCACCCACTTGATCCAGTCAGTGGACTTGGAAAGTGATGTGAGCTGCATCCTTGCAGCCAACTTGGACCCTCGGGGCTACTGTCCCCCACCCTGAGCGGCCAGGCCGTGGCCCCTGCACAGTCATCCCAGACTGCCCTCCGCTGGAATTGGCTGCTGCAGTTGGGGGCCCTGGGAAGCTGGCAAACGCTTATGGGCTGGGCCCCGGGAGAAGTGCAGCTGCTGTGTGTCCACGGGGGTGCTGCGCCGGAGTGGCCCTCCCAGCTGAGGCGGGTCTGCCGGACCTCGTAGGCCCCCGGGTGGTGGCTGCCCCCTTCGCGCCCGGGCACACAGTGCAGAGGGCAATTCCCGGAGAATGCGGAGAGCTGACGGCCTTCCCAGGAGCTGGGGGCATGAGACCTTCCATTGCACAAAACAGCCCAGACTCCAGAACAACAACCCCATCCCACTTCCCTCTGGGGCAGAACTTTCTCCACACACATGCCCTTCCGGCCGACTGGGTGTGGAGTCACAAATGATGGAACTTCAGCGCCATCTGGTTCTTCCCCACTCGTTTCTCACCTGAGAAAACGGTGCCCCCCCCCCCAAAGGGGCGGGGACGTGGTCACCAGCTTCGAGGCTGGGTGGGTGGACTCATTTATTCATGTGCACAGAGCACCTGCCCAGCACTGGGCACCGTCCTCCGCCCTGGGCAGTGGCCGAAGCAGACCAAACAGCCTGTCCTGGTGGAGTTAACCTCCTAGGAGGGGTGAGGGAGGAGTGGGATTCGGACAGGAAACAAGGAAACTGCCCAATGTCAAGTGGAGGGAAATGAAGCAGGGGGAGGAGGGGAGGAGAATGGAGCTGATGCCATCCCACTTTGGCGGAGGCCTGCACGTAGGTGGCAGGAGCGCGTTCCAGGCCGAGGAAACAGCCAGAGCAAAGGCCCGGGAGGCAAGTGTGCGTGTTCTGTTTGAGTAGCAGCGAGGAGGCCAGTGGTCAGAGAGGAGGAGGAGGGCAGAGGAGACGAGGCCAAAGGGGGTGAAGAGCCTGTGAGGACGTGGCCTTTACTCGGAGGGTTCTGAGCAGAAGGGGGAGAAGGGGGGGGGGACATGCCTTGACTTGGGGCCTAACAGGGTCCCTCTGGCGGCTCCGTGGGGGACAGACAGGGGGGCCCTGGGGGAAGCAGTGGAGCCAGTAAGGAGGAGACAGTCCAGGCTGACGGGGGCTGAGTCAGCGTGGAGAGAGTGGGGGTGGGAGAAGTGACTGGATTCTGGAGGGATTCCCAAAGTATCGGCGGGAGAAGGCGCTGCTGAGAGTGTGGGGGTGAGAGGTGGCCGGGCCCTCATGTCTGTGACCCTCGCCCCCAGGCCACTCCACATCGCCGTGGTGCAGGGCAACCTGCCAGCTGTGCATCGACTCGTCAGCCTCTTCCAGCACGGGGGCCGGGAGCTGGACATCTACAACCACCTCAGGCAGGTGAGGCTGGGCCTGAGGCCTGGGCTCCGCGTCTGAGGGAGGAGGGGCTGGGGGCCTGGACTCCTGGGTCTGAGGGAGGAGGGCTGGGGGCCTGGACCCCTGGGTCTGAGGGAGGAGGGCTGAGGGCCTGGACTCCTGGGTCTGAGGGAGGAGGGGCTGGGGGCCTGGACTCCTGGGTGTGAGGGAGGAGGGGCTGGGGGCCTGGACTCCTGGGTGTGAGGGAGGAGGGGCCTGAGGCCTGGGCTCCGGGTCTGAGGGAGGAGGGCTGGGGGCCTGGACTCCTGGTCTGAGAGAGGAGGGGCTGGGGGCCTGGACTCCTGGGTCTGAGGGAGGAGGGCCTGAGGCCTGGGTTCCTGGTCTGAGGGAGGAGGGGCTGGGTCTTTAGACTTCTGGGTCCTAGGTGAGGGAGTCCCCTTGAATCTGAGGGAGGGGGAGGAGTTCCAGATTTCTGGCTCCTGGGGAAGACTGCAGCTGGGGGTCAGGACTGGGAAATTCTGAGGGAGGCAGGACTAGGACCAGGGTGGGTCCCTCACAGTCTCTGTTGTCCAGACACCGCTGCACCTGGCTGTGATCACCACTCTGCCGTCGGTGGTCCGGCTACTGGTGATGGCCGGAGCCAGCCCCATGGCCCTGGACCGCCATGGCCAGACGGCAGCCCACCTGGCGTGTGAGCACCGCAGCCCCACTTGCCTGCGGGCCCTGCTGGAGAGCGCCGCCCCGGGCACCGTGGACCTGGAGGCCCGCAATTACGACGGTGAGGACGGACAGGCTCGGGCGCAGGGTGGGGCCGTCTGGCAGGACCTGGCGCCCTTCTGCGGCTGCAGAGTCCCAAGCCCGAGCCTGACTGGACCTCCCTCTGCTTTAGGGCTCACTGCCCTGCACGTGGCCGTCAACACCGAGTGCCACGAAGCGGTGCTGCTCTTGCTGGAGCGTGGCGCGGACATCGACGCGGTGGTGAGCGAGGGAGCGGGGCTGGCGTGGGGGGCGCCTGCGTGGGTGGCCGGGGCTCCAGGCCTCCGTCCCGCCTGGGCGGTGGGGATGCGGACCAGATTGCCAGCTGTGGGGTCAGAGCTCGGAAAGACTCAAGGCCCTTCCCTCCCCGCCGCAGGACATTAAGAGCGGCCGCTCCCCGCTCATCCACGCCGTGGAGAACAACAGCCTGAGCATGGTGCAGCTGCTGCTGCAGGTGGGTGGGCCCTGCCCGCGGCCTCCCCGCCCTTCTCCCGGCGCCCACCCGCATCGCCCGCCTCCGTCCGGCTCTGAGCCTTCCTCCTAGGCCTCGTTCTGACAGCCCTTAGACTTTACCCCCCAGGAGGCGAACTCCTCCTGGGCCCTCCGCCACTCCTCCGCTGCCCCTGACGGCCCAGGCCCTGCCCGCGCCGACCTTCCTCAACCCCAGCCCCTTCCCCTCTCTGACTCCACCCCTACGACGGCTGGACCCGGAGTCTGGCTCCGTTTCATTCAGCGCTGCCCGCCTAGTCCCGCGCGGGGACTCTAGCTCCCGTCCTTCTCTCCATCACCAGGGCCCGGGAGTGGTCCAGCCCCGGTCACTGGCCCCGCCCCTCCATCTGGCCCCGCCCCCACCCCTGGATCGGGCCCGCGAGTGGTCCAGCCCCGGTCACTGGCCACGCCCCTCCATCTGGCCCCGCCCCCGCCCCTGGATCGGGCCCGCAAGTGGTCCAGCCCTGGGCAATGGCCCCGCCCCTCGTCTTGGCTCCGCCCCCATCGCCCTGGGTCAGGCCGCTGGGTGGTCCAGCCCCTCGCCCTGACCCCGCCCCTCCGGGGCCCCGCCCCCTCGCCCTGGGCCGGGGTCGCGGGTGGTCCTGTCCTGACCCGCCCTCCGCCCGCAGCACGGCGCCAACGTGAACGCGCAGATGTACTCGGGCAGCTCGGCGCTGCACTCGGCGTCGGGCCGCGGGCTCCTCCCGCTGGTGCGCACGCTGGTCCGCAGCGGCGCGGACAGCAGCCTCAAGAACTGCCACAACGACACGCCGCTCATGGTGGCGCGCAGCCGCCGGGTGAGTGCGCGGCGGGGGGTGCGGGGCCGGGGGAGGCTGTTCCCGCGTGTGGGTCCGTGGAGCAGACCCAGAGGGGTGCGTGTGCGTGTGCGCCTGTGCCCGTGCGTGGAGGGAGAGGAGGAGTGGGGGTGTGAGGTCTAAACAGGAGGAGAGACTGAGGCACAAAGAAAGGCTACGTGCCCACCTTCCCGGACCGCTGTGCTCACTGACAGAGCCCTGGGGCAAGCGGAGGAGAGGGAAGGGGTGGGTTGGTGGTGACCCCCATCTCCCTACAGGTCATCGACATCCTGAGGGGGAAGGCCACTCGACCTGCTCCCGAGTCACAGCCAGAGCCCTCCTCTGACCGGAGTGCCACCACCTCCCCGGAGAGCAGCAGCCGCCTCAGCTCCAACGGTGAGAAGCCAGCCTGCAGCCTCTGCCCCAGCGCCCTCTTCCTGCCCCTTAGAATCCGGGAGTCAGACCCCGGCCCCCTTCTCTCTGGATCTGGTCTCTCACTGCCCTCCCTCACCCTTCTTCTCTCTTCTTTCCACAGGTCTTCTCTCGGCATCACCATCCTCCTCGCCTTCCCAGTCCCCTCCCAAGGATTCCCTTGGATTTCCCCTGGCTCCCCCCAGTTTCTTCCTCTCTCCCTCACCTCCACCTGCCTTCCTGCCCTTTGTCGGGGTCCTCCAGGCCCCCGGCCGGCCGGTGCCCCCCGCCCAAGCTCCCGGAGGCAGCTGAGAGGGATGGGGGGGCAGATCTTGGACTCGTGAGGAGGGACCTCCCTGCCCTGTGGAGTCAACCCTCCTGGAAACTGTGAAGATCTCACTCTGCCCCCCCCCCCCATCTTCGAACCATTTGCACAGAGGCACATGCATTTGCCCCTTCTTTTGAGCACAGATACCCGCCCTCCAACCTCATCTCCCGTCTTCCGCCCAGGACTCTCTCCCCTGTTCCTCTCAGGCACCCAGAATTCCACTCGATCATGCACTTCTGTCTCCTCTCTCAGAGCTGGCGGAACCAGGGGACACCTGCCCCCCCCCCCGCCCTCCGCCCATGAGGAGGGAGAGATGGACTGCCGTGGGCACTTATAACCGTGTAAATTATTAGGCGTTTTTGGTTGGATTTCTTTTGTAATAAACTATTTTTGTAACATAGCCCTGGCGTGGCTGGCCCGCTTTCCTGAGGAGGTCTGCAGACGTGTGTGTGTGTGTGTGTGTGTGTGTGTGTGTGTGCGCGCACGCGCGCGCACGCACCCCCGTACACCATACCCCGTACCCCACATGCCGTGCCCCGCTGACTCCACGCGTGACCTGTGAGTCCCAGAATGGTGATGGCGTGTGAGTGACTCTAGGATGGCCGGTGTGTTCGAATGTTCCATCATGGTGACATGGTGCCGCTGTTTTGGGGGATGACCTAATGTGTGACATCTCTCCAGGAGGCCCTGTTACATTCCACAGTGACCCCAGGTGTGTGTGTGTGTGTGTGTGTGTGTGCACGTGTGCATTTCCGAGGAGTGCCACAGATGACTGTTGTGTGACGCTGCGATTGACTCTGTGGCATTTGTGAGACCTGCGGTCATCGTAGGATTGTTCCCATGTGCCTGCCTCTCTTGATGTGTCACGTTTTACTCAGCGGCTCTAGGGCCCCTGAATACAATGTCTGTGTCTGGACTCTATGGATACATCTCTTGTGAATCAAGCCTTCGTTGCCTGTTACCACTCCAGCAAAGCACCACAAATTAAGTGGCTTAAAACACTGGTTGGCCGAAACCGGTTTGGCTCAGTGGATAAAGTGTCAGCCTGCGGACTGAAGGGTCCCAGGTTCGATTCTGGTGAAGGGCATGTACCTGGGTTGCGGGCACATCCCCAGTAGAGGGTGTGCAGGAGGCAGCTGATCGATGCTTCTCTCTCATCGATGTTTCTAACTCTCCCTTTCTCTTCATCTCTGTAAAAATTTAATAAAATATATTAAAAAAAAAAAAAAACACTGGTGGGCAAACTCATTAGTCAACAGAGCCAAATATCAACAGTACAACGATTGAAATTTCTTTTGAGAACCAAAAACTGACTTCTGCGCATGTGGTATTTTGTGGAAGAGCCACACTCAAGGGGCCAAAGAGCCGCATGTGGCTCTCGAGACACAGTTTGCCAATCAATGGCTTAAAACAACACATCTAGCCAAAACCGGTTTGGCTCAGTGGTAGAGCGTCAGTCTGCGGACTGAAAGGTCCCAGGTTCGATTCCGGTCAGGAGCATGTATGTTAGTTGCGGGCACATCCCCGGTGGGGGGTGTGCAAGAGGCAGCTGGTCGGTGTTCCTCTCTCATTGACGTTTCTAGCTCTCTATCTCTTTCCCTTCCTCTCTGTAAAAAATCAATAAAAATATATTTTTTAAAAAACAACAAATACATCTAAGTGTATTGTCTTGTACTTCCAGAGGTCAGAAGTGTGACATCAGCCCAGCAGGTGTGGCTCAGTGGTTCAGTGTCAACCCAGGAACCCAGAGGTCACTAGTTCAATTCCTGGTCAGGGCACATGCTCAGGTTTTGGGCTTGATTCCCAGTAGGGGGCGTGCAGGAGGCAGCCCATTGATGATGTTTCTCATTGATGTTTCTATCTCTCTCTCTCCCTCTCTCTAAAAATCAATAAGGGCATTTTTTTTTTTTAAAGTGTATACCGAAACCGCTTTGTCTCAGTGCATAGAGCATCGGCCTGAAGACTGAAAGGTCCCAGGTTCGATTCCGGTCAAGGGAATGTACCTTGGTTGCAGGCACATCCCCAGTAGGGGGTGTTCAAGAGGCAGCTGGTCGATGTTTCTCTCTCATCGACGTTTCTAACTCTCTATCCCTCTCTTCCCCTTTGTAAAAAATCAATAAAAATATATTTTTTAAATTTTTTAAATAAAAAAGTGTAAAATCAGTTTCACTGGGACAAGATATCACAGGACTGGTTCCTTCGGGCAGCTCTAGGGGAGAACCTGTTCCCTTGCATTCTCCAGCTCCTAGAGGTTGGCCTGCATTCCTTGGCTCATGGCCCCTTCCTTGTGTCTACAACCTTCTGCTTCCATCTGCACATCTACTCTGATCTCCTGCCTTCCTCTTAGGAGGATCCTGGGATTGGACTGTGCCCAGGATAATCTAATCTCCAGATCCCTCACCTCACCCAGTCTGTAAAGTGCTTTGCCAGGTAAAGTGACATCAGAGTTTCTAGGGATTGGGACAAGGACTTTAGGAGCCTTGATTCAGCTGACGCCAGGCTCCATCAGAGAATCGACGTTTCTAGGAGATGGGTGTAGGGATAAGAAATTTGCTGCAGGAATTGACTGATCTGCAGGAAGGGGAAGTGGGTGTGCAGTGGGGACGCAGGGACAAGCTGGGACCCCTGAGGAAGGACTGGAGCTCTACTGCCCCCACTCCCCCTGGCCTTGAAGAATGGGTTGTCCTTTGAGAGACACAGATGACCTTGACTTCATGAGTGATCATGTGTTTCTGAATAATGGTAAGTGCTGTTTTCCTTTTTTTTTTTTTTTTTAAATATATTTTATTGACTTTTTACAGAGAAGAAGGGAGAGTGATAGAGAGTTAGAAACATCGATGGGAGAGAAACATCAATCAGCTGCCTCCTGCACACCTCCTACTGGGGATGTGCCCGCAACCAAGGTACATGCCCTTGACCGGAATCGAACCCCGGACCCTTGAGTCCACAGGCTGATGCTCTATCCACTGAGCCAAACTGGTTAGGGCTGTTTTTCTTTTTCTTTCTTTCTTTCTTTCTTTCTTTCTTTCTTTCTTTCTTTCTTTCTTTCTTTCTTTTTTTAAAAAAAATATTGTTTCTTACTGATTTCAGAGAGGGAGAGAGACATAGGAACATCAACCATCTGAGAGGATTATTGATTGGCTGCCTCCTGCCCGCCCCCTACTGGCGATCGAGGAGCCCACAACTCAGGCATGTGCCCTTAACTTGAATCTGCAGGCGGACGCTCTATCCACTGAGCCAAACCAGCTAGGACTGTGCTGCTCTTCTTTAGTCTGGGGACCTCGCTGGGCCCTGGGGTCTTCGTATGTCTTGGGACATATGAATGTTTCTGCTGCCACGATTCCTATCACATGTTGTCTGTGTGGGACCAACTGCCTTAACGTCTTCCTGGAAGGCACTGTTGGGTTTCATGAGTGGCTGGGTGTACCTATGTGTGTGTGAACGCATGTACACACACCCATGCACACCCACGTCCAGTCAGCTCTGACTGGGTGACTGGTACTCTCCTGACTTAGGTGTGTTGTGACCATGTGGCTGTGTTTCTGCCCCTGTCTCTGAGCAATGGTGTCCCTAGAGCCGCTGACTTGGAAGGTGTATTGGCTTTACGACCACTAACTTGGTGACTTAAAACAGAATTGTATTCTCTCACAGTTCTGGAAACCAGAAGTCCAAAACTGAGGTGTGGGCAGGGTCACGCTCTCTCCAAAGGCTCCAGGGGAGATTGATTGATTGATTATCTATTTTTTTACTAGAGGCCCAGTGCACAGATTCGTGCACCAGCGGGGCTCCTCGGCCTGGCCTGTGAGGATTGGACTGAAACCAGCTCTCTGGCATCCCCTGAGGGGTCCTGGATTTCAAGAGGGCACAGGTTGGCCAAGGGACCCCACCGGTACACAATCAGGGCTGAGGAGATACCACAGGAGGGCTCCAGGGCATGTTCAATCCACCAGACCCCAGCAGCAAGCTAACCTACCAGTCAGAGCATCTGCCCCCTGGTGGTCAGTGCACATCATAGGGAGCTGTCGAATGGTCAGACACTTAGCATATTAGGCTTTTATTATATAGGATATTTTTAATCCTCTCTAGAGGCTATGTTTTTATTGATTTTCAGAGAGACAGAGAAATGTCAACATGAGAGAAAAACATCAATCCATTGCTTCCTGCACATACCCTGACTGGGTATCAAATTTGCAACCTAGGTATGTGCCTTGCCCGGGAATTGAACCTGAAATCTTTTGGTGTACTCCACCCAACTGAGCCACACAGCCCTTCCTCGCCTCTTCCCCCTTCTGGTGGCTCCAGCTATTTCTCAGCCTGTGGCTGCCTCTCCATCTTCCACGGCCTTCCCGTCTGTGTCTGTGTCTGTGTCTGTGTCCCCTCTGTGTCTGTCTGTGTGTCTGTGTGTCTGTGCCTGTGCCTGTGCCTGTGCCTGTGCCTGTGCCTGTGTCTGTGTCTGTGTCTGTGTCTGTGTCTGTGTCCCCTCTGTGTCTGTCTGTGTGTCTGTGCCTGTGCCTGTGCCTGTGCCTATGTCTGTGTCTGTGTCTGTGTCCCCTCTGTGTGTCTGTGCCTGTGCCTGTGCCTGTGCCTGTGCCTGTGTCTGTGTCTGTGTCTGTGTCTGTGTCCCCTCTGTGTGTCTGTGCCTGTGCCTGTGCCTGTGCCTGTGTCTGTGTCTGTGTCTTCTCTTACATCTATGATGGGGACACTTGTCATTGGGTTTAGGGCCCTTAGAGTAATTCAGGGTGCTTATCTTTTTTCCTTTTTAGTTTTAGAAAAGGGAATGGAGAGAGAGGGAGGCAGGGAGAAAGAGAGAAACACTGGGGACCAAGCCCACAACTCAGGCATATGCTCTGACCTGGAATCGAATCGTGACCTCTTGGTTCATAGGTCAGCACTCAACAACTGGGCCACACCAGCCAGGCAAGATCCTTCTCTCTCTCTCTCTCTCTCTCTCTCTCTCTCTCTCTCTCTCTCTCTTTTAATATAT